GCTAAACTTCCATAAATCTGGTTTCAGACATTATTGCCTCTAAAGCACTCCTTCAAAAAGTTATGAAATCAAAATAAGATTATAGGTAGGCTGAAGGTACAATTTTCCCAACAATATTTAATCATAATCTGTTGCTGATTTATGATCTCCTAGAAATAGAGCTTTCCAATACCGCTTTCAAAAATCTCTTAACATTGTTATACAGCGCATCAGTCCACCACCTCAAAGAAAAGCCAACAAAGAAACACATAAAACCTACTTTAACGGGCTTGCGTAGATGCTACCTATCACCCAGAGCAAGCACCATATTAAGGCGTTCACATAGATTCTTCTTGCCTAAAGAGTACGGTGTGAATGACCTTATTATTCAGGTCTTGCATTGCCAAACGACTCATCTTTCCATTACTAAAAGGCTCAATTTGGAATGCAGCATTTAACAAAAGCCCCTGGGTCATTCCTATCTAGCCATTACTAGGTGGAATGTACGTGGGGCTCCCAAACCCCAACACTTCTGCAGTCCTTCCAACCTAGTGGTGCCAGGATTACAGAATACCCCTTCTATGAAAGCTCCTTAGATGTCACACCCATGAATTACAGTATTTTGTATTTACTGGCTATTGCTTAACTCTGTTCCTACCTATGAAATAAGAAGAATTAGAATATGCTGGAAAATTTCAGAATCTATACACTTCAATAGTAATTTTAGTGGCTATCACTAAAATTTAGTGGACATCCAAAGCTGTTGCTATTTTCATGTAGGTAGTAAAAGTTATAGCATAGAGTTGTCTAGCTCACCAAACCTGAACAATGCATATTAAAAGGTATTTAAAAATGGAACATATGCTACATTGCAGCCAATTCAAAGTTTATATTGCTTCATTAACATTCTCTGACAACCCACTCTTTATGAACATGCTGTCAAAAGTCCCATTTTCCCCAGAGTCCAAAAAAATGCAACTGTATCAACCACTTTTAAAAGCCTAGAATACAGTACCTTGAAACTCTAAACATATCATCGTATTTAAGATCTGGCACTACATTTCTTAGTCAACTCTGGGGAGAAGTAAACATGTGAAAAAGGTGATACAAAGACATACGAACTCAAATTAACCTAGGCTACTGGAGCAAACCGACAGCACCTTTCAACTCAATAAAACACAAACCCATGGTATTTGTGTTTCATATCCAGAGCTGTACCTAAAGCACTTCACCTAGAACGTCCAGCTAGTTTGAAGCAGTTTCACAGACAGACTTTAAGAAAGTATATAAAATAAGTTAGACTATGACGTAAGGCAAATATACTGAAACATGAGAATAAATGAAAAACAAAAACTTAATATAAGTTAAAGGAAGAAAAAAAGCATGGACGGAATTATGCTTAAGACAAGAAAGAGTAGTATCTGTCTCCTCAGATTTTCCTCCTTTATTCCCCCATGCACACACATAAAAATAAAATATAATCAGAGGACCACTGCAACAGATCCGAGTAATTCACCCTTCCCAAATCTTTAACAAATAGTTTCTGGAAAACTGCTAACAAACCTAACCCAGTACACTGCACACCCCTTAAAATTACTGGTATTTAGTCAAACCCATTTTTACTCCTGAGAAAAACAGTAGTTGATCTTCATAGCAATTTACAGTTTTGTAAAATAAAAAGTGACCTAGCAATAACGAGCAATACAGTTACAAGTACTACATTTTTGACCTTCCAAGATTTAAAAGACACAACAAGTCTTAATATTATCTTTACCATTGGGGCATTTTTTTTTTTTTTTTTAAATCGAGGATTTAAATTGCAGATTTTTTGCAAAATACTCAAACCCTCGACATTACAGTATTTACTGTAAAACAAAGGCTTAATATTAGCTGCCCGGCAATAATATTATTATTTGTAACAAACAAATGGAAGATCGTCAAAGAAAGAAATGACAATGGAAACATGTTTTCTCCTGAATAGCAAATTGTTTGAATAAAACATTTTGAAAAATAATTTCAGAACTTGATTTTTGTTGCTTTCACTTCAACAATAAATACATATTCCTGATCTAACATTCACAAGAAATACTGCACTGTAAGATTGCTGTGATCATGTCTTCTGCTTTGTATTCAACCAAAAAGCAAGTCTCAAGTACAATACTCCTCGTAGAAGACAACGCATGAGAAAGTAACCCCGTTGAAAATTGCAAGTTAATGCCTCAATGCAAAAAGGCTAGTCTCAGACACTCTGTAAGAGAAAAAAACCCGAACACATTCCCTATTCTGCATTAGGCTCACAAGATCTCTCTAATTTCAGGCTAATGAAAAAAGGGCATCAGTATTAAAAATTAGAACAATTAAAAAACCATGCCAAAACACCACACACTTTGGTAGATTATATTATCTGACAATGCACCCTAAAACAAAGTATCCATCACTCATTTTGGGTTTTTTCCATCACCTTCCTAATCCAGCTTTCTATAGAGATCACACAAATCCACCAACACGTATCTTGTACTACAGGCTTAATTATGAAAAACAGAATTTGTGCAAATCTCTTACTGTGAATAATCTGAATTCTTCTTAGACTCAATGTAAGAAACAGCTATGCCTCACTTCTTTTTCCGTCTCGCTCATAAAGTGAAACCCTTCTTCAGTGCTGAAAACTCATTTAAAAATGTTATTAAAAGAGACTGTAACAACCAGACTGTGACACAGTTTGCTCTCTATTCTACTTACACTTTGCATTATACTATGCTAGGTATCTAGATATATCCACGTGCAGAATTGCCCAACATGCGACAGAAAAAAAACCCCATAATCGAACAACCTCTTCCAACATTATCATAGACAGCACAAATATAACATTTTTCCCCCAGACGACATAAGGGGAGGTCTAAATAGGAACCCACGACAGCCGATACGAGCGCAGCATGCTTGCAGACAACTACTGCTAACCCGAGGGGCTAAACCCGAAAAACCCACCCCTGCAACACCCGGCACCCCTAGAGCCCGCCGCCTGAAGGGCTCGGAGCGCTCCGAGGGCCACCAACCGGCTCCCTACCCCCGGCTCCCAGAGGACCAACATCCTCCAACAAGTAACCACCAGAGCGCGGCCGGGACAGACCCCAGGCCGTGGCGGCG